CTTATGAGGGGGGCTGCCAGGATACGGTCTGTCGCCATAGGCTAGTATGATTTCCCTCAGACGCTCACAGACGGGAGTGCCAGGAACTGGGATGCAAAAATGAACATCTCCGTGGAATCATTGTTTGAGCTCCACGCTCAGCTCCTCCTGATGCTTGTTAATCAGGTTCCAGGGTCACGAGAAAAGGGAGGAGGAGATAGAGGAGGACGAGGAGTAAGAGTAGCAGTTCAGCAGAGGGTTCCGCCTATTCCCACCGTCCCTCCCTACAACATGAGAACCAGCTGTAGGACAACTTGATATTGGGACTGGAACGCGTTCCTACCTCGCAAACGGAAGGCGCGCGCGCGGCCCCGCTTCCGATGGGCGGAAGCACTTGGCTACTACGCATGGTGGGATGCTCCCCCGTACTGGGGCAACACATCGCCCCTGAGATGCTTCCGTGTCGTCGTGGTCGTGCCGTGGGCAAGATGGTGGTGGGTGTTTGTTGGGACGATGCTGCTTCCCTCTGTCCCCAATGGTTGTGGCCCCTTGCTGCTTAGCCAGGACAGCAGAGCGGGCGCGGCGAAGACGAAGCATGCGCCGCGCCGGCGCGGGAACACCACCTCGAGCGCACTGCGTACGGAGCAGAGCTCGGGCGAGGGCGACGAGTCGCCCGCTCGCGCTGGCCCAAGGCATCGGCGCGTGAAGAAGATGCACCGCGCCAGAGCGCCACTCTCCAGGCGAAGTCTGCACGGCGCCGAGGCGAGGGCGACACCTCTCGGCCGCTCGCGCGTCGACGGAGTTGCGTGCGACAACGGCGCGCCGCGCCCGAGCGGGAGCTCCATACTCTAGAAAAGGGAGCGCGGCGAGGCGAGAGGCGAGAGCAACACTTCGGCCTTTCGCACGGGATGTGCCCGGATCGGGTCGTGATCGGCCGGCGATCTGGCAGAGTAGGAGTGCACACCAAGAAGGAATGAGGATTGGGAACGGGGAGTTGTGGTTCCCTCGCAGAATATGTACGTCTCACTGGCAGGTTCCATGCGCGGGCCGCCCTAGAAATTTACGTGGGTTGTTTCACTGGCACCCTTTGCGGTTGTCATGGCAAGATGCAACATCCGCTTGCGATGTGACACAGACACATGCGTGCACATGCGCTGTGTGAAATGTGAGGCTCGTACACATGCGTAGCGGCGAGATCGAAATAAGACATCTGTCCTCATTGCCTTCCCCAATTAATAACCCTCCCCCCACTCATCACCAGCATCAGCATCATCGTCGTCGTCATCAGCAGCAGCTTCATCTTCATATTCATGCTCAGGCCCTTCTTTCATCATCATCATCATCATCATCATCATCATCATCATCATCATCATCGTCATCGTCATCGTCATCGTCATCATCATCATCATCATCATCATCATCATCATCATCATCATCAGCATCGCCATCATCATCATCATCATCATCATCATCATCAGCATCATCATCATCATCCTTATCATTAGCGATGGGTCATCAAACTCGACCTCCCAATCTCTCGTCGGGTTACGCCGCCTTCGCCGACCCCTTGGGGGAAACGGATGCCTCTCCTCTTGTCCCGTCGCGCGCCTTTGTGGTCGTGTGCGTTGTCGTTGAAGGCTCGTGACTATTGTCGAGCAAATGTGAAGTCCGAAACCATCCCCAAAAGGGCACAGTGGGCCGTCTTGGCCTGCACTGGGGGCGTCTAGGGCTCCGGGGGCCTTTTGAGGGCGTGTTGGGCCTCATTTGGCAGTACTGGCGCGTCTTGGGTTCTTTAGGGGTCTCTGTTTGGCCATCTCGGCACCCTCTTGGACCGTCGTGGGTCTCTCCGGAGTCCTTCTTAGGCCGTCTTGGGAGCCGCCAGGGGCTGTCTTAGCCCGTCTTGGTGCCCTCTTCGGGTGTTATTGGGCCGTCCTGGGGCCTCTTTAGCACTCCCAGAACCATCACATGCAGAGAAAGTTGATCAGCAAAAAGTTCCCAACCAAAATGCGTTAGCACGATGTTGGCTTCTCGGGTACGCTATCATTGGGGAGCTAGCTTCCTGGCCACCTCGAGCCGGTGTGGGGCCTCCCCGACGCACGCTGGAGGCAACATTGACAAGATCCGCGTCGTGTCTTCGGCTGTTTACCTTGGTTTTCCGATCGGTCCTGGTGCCGCCTCGGAGGTTTGGGCCCCGATTCTGCCTGCTTTTTGGGACCGCGTTCTCCAAACTCGCCAACTCGGCTTAGGTGTTGCCCAGAGTGCTGCTGCCTTTCGCGTCATGTGTGTATCTAAGCCTCTGTACCGTATGCAACTGTACCCCCCTGACAAGAACCTTATTCATCAGTTTAAGGAAGCTGCGATGAGATTAACTTCTGGCCCGCGTAATGCGATCTCCTACAACATCGCTACTCACCTGCAGTCTTTGGGATTTGGAACGGAATGTGTGGACATTATTGCGGTTTCCCGGGCTGCGTTGGTACGGTACATGTTGCGGTCTCGTACCTATTATGGTGTCTTGGATGACCTGGAAGCTTCTCGGGACGATCTGGAGCATATCCCTTTTCGATGGCACATTGGGTGGAACCAGACCTCTTTCCTTGGGCACGCTCGTCGTATGGAAGACTGTTGTTTTGGCCTTTCCCTGTCCCTACACTCAGGCACGGAGAAACTACAGGATCAGTTGTACCTTGCCTTTCGTGTTCTCCAGCGCCCGGAGCCTATGCGTGATGCTCCTCTGCGGCGTGCACGTATGATCGATCCCTCCCTCACCTCCGTCAACATCGATCTCCTCTGCAAAACGTTACATATGATATGTACGAAAACCTCCATGTATCTTGGCATTGCCCCGTTACGGATGATCACTGGATCAATTTGTACTTCTGCTCGCTTTCACTCGCATGCGGCGGGCTGTCGCTTGCGGTCCGCTCTACCGGTTTGCACCCGCTTGTACCACTGCTGGTGCACGGGGAGAGGCGCACGTTTCATCACCCCACGCTTACGGCCACTCGTTCTCCCATCTATCGTCTCCTGGCCCCCCACATGTTTATGTTCTCCCCTTTGGTCCCTAGCACGCACAGTGCAGTGGAATGCCTTCTTTACTGTCCGATTGCGTTGTGTAGTGTGCCTTGCCGCCCGGGTGTAACTAAAAGGGGGAAGCCACAGCGCTTTCTGCGCCTTGAGCGCCGTGTGTCGGCCGCCGTGAACGGAAGGCAAGAGCGCACATGACGCTGATTCTCCTTGGTTCATTGCCGACTTCCAGAGATTTGGCGAATATCGCGGTTTCGTTGCATGTTGATCATTTTTGCCGCAACGGCGCGGCCGTCATAACGGCGCCTTGGGCTTGCGTGGAGTGTCGCAATGGCGCACCGGCTGTCGTGAACCATGGCCCTTTGAGCATCTCTGACGTACCTCGTGGCCTTGTTTTGCGAGAGGCGCGTCCTGTACTGCCGATCGTTCCGCGCAGTCTGGACCTGCCTGGCGCTGGGCCTTGCCGCTTCCAGAGAGCACGGCGCGCCTGCGTTTCCGCTCCGAGTAGCCTATGCTTGGCTTTGGGCCTCGCCGCCTCCAGAATGCACGGATGCGAGCGCTGGGAGGAGAAGGAAGAGCCGCAGCAGCGGGAGGAGGAGGAGGAGGAGGAGGAGGAGGAGGAGGAGGACGAGGAGGAGGAGGGAGGAGGGGGCGGCGCAGGGAGGAGAAGGAAGAGCCGCAGCAGCAGGAGGAAGAGAAGGAGGAGCAGGAGGAGGAGGACCGAAGCAGCCGCTCGCCGCCGCGCCCCCGCTCCGCGGCGCCTCCCCCGCCCTCCGTTCCAGCCTGGCCTCCCCGCCGGGGCGCCGGGCCTTCCCGCCGCGGCGGCCGCGCGACATGCGCGCGCTCGCCAGGAGGGCCCCCGCTGCCTCGGCGGCGGGCGGCGCCGTGCGCGCGGGCTCGTCGGCGGCGGCCGCCGCCGCCTCGGCACAGCTGCTGCGGGAGGCGGAGGCGCTGGGCGGCGGCCCGCGCCCCGCGCCAGCGGCCGCGGCGCTCGCGGTGGCGGAGGGGGCCTCGGCGCCTTTTCGCCGGGGGTGCGCTCAAGGGCAGCGACAGGGGGGGATAGGCATAGAGGGGGGGAGGGCACCTCGAGCCCCGATCCCCAAGGGAGGAAAAGCCACCCAGATTGGCATTTACTGATCGGCCCTGGGCGTTTACCAAACAGCCCTTGTCCTGTTCGACGTATTTCTTGGGCACGTTTACTAAACGGCTTCGCTTGTCGGTGTGCTTACTATCGGGGTGGATTTTCTGCCCTCTACAATCGCCCACAGGTCGCCGATAGGCGCCGGATAGTCCCATCCCGCCCAGGAACGTGCGGATTCACGATCGGGGGCCGATCGCCGATCTATCGGCGATATATCGCCGATTCCAGCTCGCTGTTTCCCGCCCTGTGCCAGTCCCCCTGCAATCAAGGCCGCCTCGGGGAGGGTACCCTGATGTTCGTCGTCTTTCCTGGACATACTCTTGTGCATCCCAGAGGAGGGCACCCTCGAAGATTCTTCAGTTCGGGCCGGCGGAGGGTCTCATGCTCTTGAAGGATGCTTTTCTGCCTTAGGTCCGACCCCAGACCTGCGACGTCCTGATTTTAGTCGGTGCGGGATCCCCGGAAGTCCCGACCCTTTCCCCGGGACCGGTTTCTCATCCTGCGTCGTTGTTTGACGGCCCCGAACTTCGGCGAGGGTCTCCCGAGGCCGAAAATGGCAAAAAAACATCCCGCCCCGCATTTGTCACGCCACGATCATGCCTGGGACATGTATCGTTGCCCCCTACCCCTCCTCCTCCTCCTCCTCCTCCTCCTCCTCCTCCTCCTCCTCCTCCTCCTCCTCCTCCTCCTCCTCCTCCTCCTCCTCCTCCTCCCCGTAGCCATTTTGGCTCAAACCATTTTGGCTCAAGATGGCGACCTGGGGGGCTGTCCAGCCTCCAGGCCGAAGGGAGACCTCTGGACCGAGGACAGTTCCCAGACGGGCGTCGGGCGCGCGCGCGGCACTGCTGCAGCCATGGGGAGTGGCGGCGGCGGACGCGGGGCGGGCAGCGCCTGGTCGGGGACCCCGAATCGCCAGAGGGTGCCCCCGTGGAAGAGGAGCAGCAGTGGCAGTCGCCCTCTTCGCAGCAGCTACGTGGTGTGTGACGGGTGCAGCAGATGGCGCTACTGCAAGAATATCACCAGCAGGGGCGACCTCTGCATCTGCGGCAAGAATCTCGCCTGCCTCGTCCCTGACGGACATGTCTTCCGTGACGAGGATGGTGGGTGGCTGGCAGCACAGCCCCAAGGAGGAACCTCGCCCAGGATCAGCTGGGCAGATGGTTGGCAGCCAGGAGGTGGTGCAGGCGGGAAAGGGCAAGGAGGCCAACGCCAGCCGCCACCTCACGACAAGACCGTCGATCTCAAGGCCGCCGCCGCAGCAGCATACAGCAAGCTCAGCAAGGACGACCCGCACAGGCAGCACAATGAGGCCCTCTGGCCAGAGCTCGCCGCAGCCAAGCCACCAGCAGAACAACCAGTTGTTGGATTCAAGGCAGTGGAGGCAGCAGCTCGACGCTTGGACAAACTCCAGAAGAAGGTACGATCGGCAGGGGAGCAAGTGGAGAGTGCCCAGCAGTACTTGGCTGAGAGTGAACGCAAGCTTCGTGAAGCTATGGAAGCCTCCATTGCAGCTGAAGATGAGTTCGACAAGCTCAAGGCCACAGTCGGCAAGCAAGAGGCACCAGCTGAACCAGCAGCCGAGAAGCCAACTCTGGCAGCACTCCTGGAGCAGTTCGAGCATGAGCCTGACGACTTCCACAAGTGGTCCGAGCCCGACAAGGAGGTCTGGCGAGCAGCAAAGGCCAAGGGCGAGCGTATGGCCCAGACGGTCAAGGAGCACGAGGAGGAGACGGCGAAGCACCTGCGACTTCTGGAGGAAGAGACGGCCGGGCACCAGGAGCAGCTGCGCCAGCTCGAGCAGGCCCGCACCAAGCGCCTGTCAAAGAGCGGAGAGCAAGACCCAGAAGCAGCAGAAGCCCCACCAGGCAAGCGTGTCTGCGCCGCCAGCCCAGCCCCTCAGCGAGGTGCCACCACAGGCGCTGAGGCAGCAGGGTCAGCTGCCGCGGCTGCGCCTAACGGCGCCGCAGCAGCTGCCCAACCAGAAGCAGGTGCAGCAGCACATGACAAAGCTGAGGAACGCCGAGCCAGAGTGGAGGCCCACATCCAGGAGGCGCGAGAGAAGGTCTCGCAGGCCAGGCGCGCCGAGACAGTCGTCGACGCAGAAGGGCAAGGTGACCACTCAGCAGGGTAGCCGCCCCACGGCGAGCGCGAAGAAGGCTCGCCGCCCTTACCACATCGACTTCTTCAATGTCACGACCTGGGCCCCCCAGGCACAGGGCTACCCCATGGAGATCAACGGCACCAAGGACAGGGGCATCATCGGCATCGCGGAGCACCACCTCCGCCAGCCTGCGCAGATAAGCAAGGCAAGAGCGGCGCTCAGGAGGAATGGCATGCACAGCTACTGGACCAAGGCACGGCCAGGAGAAGGAGAAGGCACTCGAGGAGGAACGTGTGCCATCACGCGAGGATCCTTGGACATCCAGGACAGGATCGCGGGTTTCGACGAGCACTACCTGCACGAGGACGGCAGCGACGTCACGGTGGCGATCTCCAACCTGCACAAAGTCCGCTTCGCAGTGGCCTTCGTCTACCTCGAGTGTGGGACGGGCTTTGGAGAGAGGAACGTCGACATCCTCTGCGACCTGCGGGAGAAGATGGCCGTCTGGGGAGGGCCATGGGCAGCGCTTGGGGACTTCAACATGACGCCGTCGGAGCTCAACAACAGCATCTGGCCCAGGGTGCTGAATGCTCAAGTAGCTGCGGCGGAGGATGGCGCCCCCACATGTTTCCCAGCAGGAGGTGAAGCCAGGTGCATCGATTTCGCGCTGATCTCGCAGGGCCTGGCGCCGTATTATGACCAGCTAGAGCTGCTCAGGACCGCGCCGTGGAAGCCGCACATCGGCATCCGCTTGAAGTTGAAAGGGCGGCCTCTCATGCTCAAGGGCAGGGTACTTCGCAGGCCAGCAGCCATAAAGCCACCAGTCGCAGTTGAGAGAATGCCGAAGTCCAGAGCCGCTTGCAGACGAGCGGCGCGAGGAGGCCAGGAGGCCATGCGTCGACGTCAGCAAGCGCTGGCAGAGGCAGGATGCGACCTGGAAGAGAACGACATGGAGCCAGTGCCGCAGCTGTACTACGACAAGGAGGTCCAGCACGTCATCCCTGACGAGCTGTGGCAGGCCACCTCCGAGCGGGCAGCTTGCGTGCCTACGACGAGTTGCCCCAGCACTTGCAGCGCACTGTCGTCGGTAAGTTGATGGAGCGGGACTTGCTGGACCTGGGGCAACAGCACGACCACTTCGCAAGCACCCTCGAGCTCAGCCTGTGCGAGAGCATCGGCATCCCAGAGGAAGAGCGAGGACGACATCTCGGGCACAGCAGGCCCCCGAGCTACAAGAGCGCGAGCATCAAGGACACCGCCACCTCTACGCCATGGGCAGGGGTCGAAAGGAAGATCCATGCGTGGTGGGCGGAGATCTCCTCCTTGGTGCGGCAGCTCTCGCACCATGATGCCCGAGCGCAGGAGGCAGCGGCAAGTCGACAGGGCAAGACCCATGCACTTCCCGATGAGGACTCGGGAGGAGGACAGGGCCCGCTGGAGTCGGAGCTTGGCCCCGTCATGTCTGGCAGCCAGGTAGGCCACGAAGACGGGGTCCCCGCGCCAGCCATGAGCCCATCGAAGAGCTCGGGAGGAAGCTCGGTGGATCGCGCCCCCACCGAGCGGGGTGAGGGCCCCCCCCCCGAGCTGCAGCAGCGGAGTGCAGGCAGTGGAGGCGCAGCAGGAGGCGGCGGCAGTAGCACCAAGGACATCGCGAATCAGCCAGCGCTTGAGGAGGCCCCCCCCTCCTCAGGCTGAGGTCCAGGCGAGCGCAGCGGACCATGGGAAGGCAGCTGGCCCCTGCTCTGAGACGGGTCAGGGGTTCCCGTCCCCCGAGTGCGCCGCCACGGGACGCGTCCCAGACCTCCACGTGGGACAAACCCACAGCAGCGCAGACAGCTGCCCAGAAGGGATGCAGAGGGGTGCCCTTCCCCCACCAGCAGGACGCAACACCATGGACATCCAAGATCACGATCCCTTCGAGGACGAGGAGAACTACTTGGAGTACCGCCAGGAGATCGCAGACCAGGAAAACAGCGATGGATACCACAAGCACGTCGAGGGGCAGCAGGCCAGCCTCGAACTCAGCCAGACCGTTCGCCGTCGTGCAGCTGGACCTGCTTCTCACCCACCAGCAGGACGCAGCACCATGGACGTCCAAGACCACGACCCCTTCGAAGAGGAGGAGGACTGCTTGCAGTACCGCCAGGAGACCGCAGACCAGGAGGACTGCGATGGGTACCACCAGCGCATCGAGGGGCAGCAGGACAGCATCGGCTACGGCCAGACCGCTCGTCGTCATGCAGCTGGATTTGGTGAAACTGCCCCAGGTGACACGCACTGCTCACCTCCTCTGCCAGCTGGCACTCTGGAGGCAGAGGGCACCGATCACCTGGGGAGTCAGAACCAAGCGCCGCCAAGCCCAGAGGCAGAGGAGCAACGAGATATGGGCCTGCCCCCACCAGATCCCTGGAATGATGACCAACACCAGCGGGAGCGGGAAGACTACGTGGCCATGAGAGACGACCTGGAGTACTGGGCGGCCATCTGGATGGATAACTTGGTGCAGCTCCCCACGGACAACAGCAACTGGATGCAGATCTGCGTGCCGTTCCTGGAGACCATCTTGGGAGGCGGAGGCAACAATGACATGGTGAGACTGCTCAGGCGTAGGTACCAGCAGGCCGGCCTCAGCCACATCATCAGGGACCTCTGCGAGCGAGCATGGAGACATGCAGAACCACGACGCCGAGGCTTTCTCCAAGGACTTACGCGAGAGGAGCCGACGAGGAGGCACGAATTGGAAATGATGCATTGGGGGGAGCTTGCAAACCTGCGGAGGTTTATGCGAGAAGTTATAGGCGAACGAGCACCACAAGGAGCAGCGCGAAGACAACTACATGATGCTCCAGGTACAGGCAGTGGCCAGAGTAGCCGCCGAGAGCTGCAGGTCCGCACCCACAGTGGCCGCCAGACGCAGCAGCAGAAGGTGCAGCCAAGGACCAGCAGCAGGCCCTCCTCGCAGACCTGCACGCGATAGCAGAGGGCGCCCTCGTGGACCCAGGGACAATCAGCAGGGTAGCAGGGGAGGTAAAGAGCATGGCCAAGCTACTCACAAAGGCGGTGAAGAAGGCGTACATCCACTGGGTGCACGACGCCACGGCAGGCAGTGCGAAGATGGCCCACGCCTACACCAAGGCGGCGGAGCGCAGCCATCTGGAGGACATCCTAGAGCACGAGGGCCAGGTCATCAACCACCCGCAGCAGCTGGTGGACTTGCGCAAAGAAGCATGGCAACGCAGGTGGACACGAGATGCGCAGAAGACCGAGAGGATCCAAGAGGCGCTGGCCAAGCTGAGGCAGGCTGCCTTGGCCCAAGAGAATGCCCTCGAGCCCATCAGCAAGGACATCATAGGCCCCATCATCCAGCACCTGAAGCGCAATGCTGGCCAAGGAGCGGACTGGTGGAGGGCTCCAGAGCTCAAGGCCATGAGCGCCCAGGGGCTGGAAGATTTCGTGCAGTGCCTGACCAGCTGTGAGCAACGGGCAGCTTGGCCGTGGCAATTCTACTTGGTGCTGGAGCTGCTGCTGGGTAAGAAGCAAGGAATCGGCGGAGAGCGCCCCATCGGCCTCATGCCCATGCCGTACCGCATCTGGAGCGCAGCCAGGAGGCCCATAGTAGCCACCTGGAGCAAGGCAGCGGCGGGTTTCTGGGATACGGCAGTAGCTGGCTCCTCAGCGCTACGAGTGGCAATGCACAGACTGATGAGGGCAGAAGCCGCCACGGAGATGGGCTTTCACGCAGCAGGAGTGTTCTACGACGCGGCAAACTTCTACGACAACATAGGCCTCGACCGGCTGATCGAGAAGGCCACTGCCCTCCAGTACCCGTTGCTGCCGCTGGCAATGGCCGTGCAGATGTACCTTGCGCCCAGGGCCATCATGGCCCACAGCCTCTTCTCGGACATCTTCGAGCCTGCCAACAGCATGGTAGCTGGCTGTGGCCAAGCGGTAGACCTCACCAGACCGCTTTTGTATGGAATCCTGGATGCAGCGCACAGGCACCACATCTTCGCCGTCATGCAGCAGTACCTGGACGACTTGGCCCTGCAGGTAGAGGGTGCGCGGCGGCAGGTCATTGACCAGATCAAGCACGTGGCAGCGCTGGTGCACGATGGATTCAAGCAGCTCGCGATACCCATCTCTGTCAAGACGGCAGTGGTGGCCTCGGACAAGGACCTCCAGGCAGAAGTCGCCAATCCTGGACAGCCTGGGCACCCCCAACAAGCAACCAGGTGTAGTGCGCGACCTCGGCGTGGACACCAGCCTTGGCAAGCAGCTGCGGCGACCCACCCATGCCGCGCGCCAGGCCAAGGCCAAGCAGAGGGCGGCCAAGCTCAGGGACCTAGCGAAGACGGACGCCAGAGGCGCGGCAAAGGTCTATTCAGCAGGTGCCTACTGCCAGCAGGCTTGGGACTTACCAGCGCATGGCACCACGCCCACGGAGGCGAAGTTGGTCAGGGCTACGGAGGCAGCGCTCCTCACAGGCGGACACAAGGCTGGACGCTGCACGTCCACCATCCTCCTGATCCAGAGGGGTATGCAAGAGGCAGTAACCCGAGCCATCGGCGACCAGATCAAGCAGTTCTGGCTCACCGTAGTCGACCACCCGACGGAGCTCAAGAGGTACCAGAGAGGCTGGCTCCTGCTCTACGCCAAGCTGGGCGCCCTGGAACCCAACCGCAGGTGGCAGCAGGTCAAGGGGCCTATGGCAGGGGTCATCGCGCAGTTGCTTGGGTTAGGCTGGATACCGCGACGCCTGGACAGCTGGATCAGCCCAGCAGGTGACGAGTGGGCCTACAAGCCAGATGACATTCCTCACTTCGGCGCGCTCCTGCATGAAGTCCAGCAGAGCGCGCAGCAGCAGCTCTGGCAGCAGGCAGCTGGCCATCGCAGTGGAGAAGGACTTCAGGCTGGAGGCGACCTCTATCAGCTGCAGCGCCACCTGAGGAGGAGGAGGCGTAAAGGACAGCATGCAGAGGCAGCCATGCTGGAGACCATAGCGGTGGCGGGCATCTGGACCAGGGAGCGTCGCAGGGCGGCCAACCTCAACCAAGAAGGCGATGACACCTGCGCGAGATGCGGCGAGGCGATAGAGACAGAGGAACACCGCTACTACGCATGCCCTGCCAACGCAGAGATAGGGCACAGCAATGACACCGACCTGGCGAAGAAGGCGAAGGACGCGCTGGACCAGCGGCAGGACCTGCATTTCTGGCTCCGAGACATCCCGCCAGCGGCCTGGGCAGCCAAGGTCGACCCAGACGAGGACGCGGCGAAGGCGGCGCAGATCTTCTGCACCAGCGAAGAGGCTCAGGCTGCAGCCCAGTCAGGGCACAAGGTTCGAGCAGACTATGTCTTCACGGACGGCTCAGGTGGTGCAGGGGAAACGGCCAGGGACCCCCGCCTCAGACGCTGCGGCTGGGCAGTGGTGGCTTTCAGGTTCGACGAACAAGGACGTCCGCAGGAAGTGGCTGCCTGGTACGGCACAATCAGGGCACCGCACACGGTGCCACGGGCAGAGCTCACCGCCATGAGCAAAGCCATCGGGTACACCACGGCGGCGACAGCCAGGGGGCTCAACATAGTCAGCGATTGCAAATACGCCCTGGACGCACTCAAGCAGATCCAGGACCCTGAGGATCTGGACTACAGGAGCACGAACTACGACCTCTGGCTCCAGACGAAGCAGCAGCTGCAGAACAGCACGAACACCATCATGGGCCACCACATCCCGAGCCACCTGATCGAGCACCCAGCCGAGCTGGAGAGGTGGAATGGCCCCACCTGGTGGGTCATAGGAAACGAGATGGCAGACAAGTACGCAGGCTGGGGAGCGGAGCATGGAGCACTGGATCCAGCCATCATCGCGCAGCAGCAGATCATGGACCAGATCACCATGGCGGTGCAGAACCGGCTGCTGGCCATCAACATGGCGGTGACGGTGGAGGACCCCAACAAGGCCCCTCAGCGTCCCAAGGCCAAGCGGCGAAAGCCGCAGACGGCGAGGGACAGGGAGGGCAGCCCAGCAGGGACACGACCTGCGAAAGCTACATCCGCGATGGTGGTGTGCAACGTGTCGCAGTGGCCCAGCCACAGGCACAAAGCATCAGAGACTGGTTGGCAGAGACGGGAAAATGCCTCGGGAAGTACGGCGGCCACCAGGACCAGCACGGCAACGTCAGGCTCGACTTCAAGGCGGTGCAGATCGGCACGCAGGTGGTGCACGTCTCCCACAAGACGCAGTTCACCCATGGCTGGCTCTGGTGCGAGAAATGTGGCGGCACCAGCTACCTTGGGGACCACAAGAGCAGGATCGTGGCAGGAGTGGCAAGGAAGCTGGCAAGGCCATGTCAGCCCCCAACAGCAGCAGGGCGGCGGGTCTTGGAGGACATGCAGAGGGGCAAGCTGCCAAGAGGAGCTAAGCCAGCAGCAGACCCAGCTGATGAGGGTCTCGACGAGATCACCTTGCCTGGAGACTTCAAGCTCGGCCTGAGTAACCACGAGGTGATCGATCTGGACGGGGACAGCTCAGAGGCAGGGGACCCGCAGCCAGCTCCACAGCAGCCACCCAGCCATCCGCACTCTGTCGTCCACGCCAGCTGGAGGCTCGTCGACCACATGGAGGGCTACGCGGAGCAGTGGATGAACATGGTCGACCAAGAGGTCTGGGACGATAAGGACGACTGGATGGAGCACTGCGTACCGTACCTCCTGGCCATCACCAATGTGGGTGGCAGAACGGACACGAAAGAGCAGACCAGGGCCGTCACCGAGCAGGAGCTCCAGCAGATCAAGGACTTCTGCGGAGAAGTCTGGCGCAACACGCACCGCACGCGACGGGGGCTCATGACCAGGATGCTTACCCTCCCGTATGGTGCAAGGCAGCAGGCAGCAAGAGTGCACATGGACGCCTTCCAGAACAGAAGGAGCAACATCCTAGCGCACAGCATCCCCAGCAGCGAGCGCAGGCCGCTGCCGAGAACAGCGGAGGCCAGCCGAGAGTGGTCACCAGAGAACCTGGACGATGATGACTCGACCCCAGACAGTGAAGCCCCAGAGCTGGAGGGTGAGCCGAGCAGCCAGGAGATTGAGACCATGGCGGGACCTGATCAGAGGCGCGACGCCAACAGCCTGATGCAGACGGCAGTGCAGGTGGCAGTAACGCTGACCAAGCCAGTGGGGCCCGACCTGATGAAGTTCGTGAGCGAAGCCGACGAGGCCGGCCTGCTCCACCCAAGGCTTCGACACAACAAAGGAGAAGCTGACCAGGACCCCGAGCAGGAGGTGGCGTGGCTCGAGAGGAACAGGCTCGAGCAGCTCATGCAGTCGCTGGCAGGCTGTTGGAGCCAGAAAGAGGGCGAGCAGGGCTGGCCATCGTGGCAGGCCCCGTGCGTGCCCCATGTGCTGAGGGCGCTGCAGACTGGAGTCTACCAGAGGCTTTTCAGCTACGTGTCAGGGACGAGCCGCCAGCGCAGCCAGCGCCGAGCGGCGGAGGAGATCTGCCGCCTGGCATTTTCAGGCAGGGACGAGCCGCCAGCGCAGCCAGCGCCGAGCGGCGGAGGAGATCTGCCGCCTGGCATGGCTCAACAGCGGAGAGGCGCGCAGACAGATCCAGCAGCTCGACCCGAAGGAGGCAGAGCGGCGCAGAGCATCGGCTGAGCAGATCCTGGGCGTGACTGAGCCAGAGGTGAGGAGCCGCAGCCCGCGACCACAAGCAGCAGGGCGAGTGCCAAGCAGGGCTCCAGCCAGACAGCCGAGGAGGCCCCTGTGCGGAGAGGGGACAGGCCACCATGGACCCCTGCGCGGCGAGGGGTTAGGCCGCAGAGGACCCCAGCGTGGCGAGGGGTTAGGCCACAGCCCTGCGCCAGACGGGATGCAGAGGGGTGCCCGTCCCCCACCAGCAGGACGCAGCACCAAGGACATGGCAGACCTCGACCACGTCCCTGGAGAGGAGAACAGCGAGGATTGCCCCCAGCAGCCCGTAGACAAGCAAAACAGCGATGACAACCACCAGCAGCTCCCAGATGTACAGCACAGCATAGGGCACCACCTGGCAGACCGCAGAGGACCCCAGCGTGGCGAGGGGTTAGGCCACGGAGGACCCCAGCGCGGTGAGGGGTTAGACCGCAGAACCAAAGGCAAGCAGAGGATCGAGGTGGAGGTCCCTGACGAGCCCAGTGAGCATGACGCGGACGTCTTGACCAACAGTGTGGTAGACAGGACCTCGCAACTAACAGAGCGGACCCTTGCCCTGGGAAACCGACAGACTGAACGCGAGGGGGAGGGCTTGGCCCGCGGATACCACGTGAACCGCGAACACAGCGAGTGGCATAGTCGGGGGACTTCGCCTGAGCCAGTGGGCAGCAGCACCGAGGATGGGGACAGTGCGAGACTCGGCGCTCCCCCGCGTGGCGAGGGGTTAGGCCACAAAACAGCGCAGCCTGAGAAGGCGGCAGACTACGACGACACAGACCTGCAGCGGGACTTGGAGAAGATCTCCGGCGACCCTCCACAGCGCGGTGAGGGGTTAGACCACAAGGCACCCCTGCGTGGCGAGGGGTTAGGCCACGGCAATCCCCTGCGCGGTGAGGGGGTAGACCGCAGGACCAAAGGCAAGCAGAGGCTTGAGGCGGAAGCCTATGACGTGCCCAGCGAGCATAACGCGGACCTTTTGACCAACAGTGTGGTAGACAGGACCTCGCAACTAACAGAGCGGACCCATACCCTGGGAGACCGACAGGCTGAACGCGAGGGCAGCAGCATATCAACACAAGACGGCAGCGTTGCGCAGCAGCTCAACCAGCCTGACCCAGGCAGGCTGAACGAAGAAGGTGCAGCCAAGGACCAGCAGCAGGCCCTCCTCGCAGACCTGCACGCGATAGCAGAGGGCGCCCTCGTGGACCCAGGGACAATCAGCAGGGTAGCAGAGGAGGTAAAGAGCATGGCCAAGCTACCCACAAAGGCGGTGAAGAAGGCGTACATCCACTGGGTGCACGACGCCACGGCAGGCAGTGCGAAGATGGCCCACGCCTACACCAAGGCGGCGGAGCGCAGCCATCTGGAGGATATCCTAGAGCACGAGGGCCAGGTCATCAACCACCCGCAGCAGCTGGTGGACTTGCGCAAAGAAGCATGGCAACGCAGGTGGACACGAGATGCGCAGAAGGCCGAGAGGATCCAAGAGGCGTTGGCCAAGCTGAGGCAGGCTGCCTTGGCCCAAGAGAATGCCCTCGAGCCCATCAGCAAGGACATCATAGGCTCCATCATCCAGCACCTGAAGCGCAATGCTGGCCAAGGAGCGGGCTGGTGGAGGGCTCCAGAGCTCAAGGCCATGGGCGCCCAGGGGCTGGAAGATTTCGTGCAGTGCCTGACCAGCTGTGAGCAACGGGCAGCTTGGCCGTGGCAATTCTACTTGGCGCTGGAGCTGCTGCTGGGTAAGAAGCCAGGAATCGGCGGAGAGCGCCCCATCGGCCCCATGCCCATGCCGTACCGCATCTGGAGCGCAGCCAGGAGGCCCATCGTAGCCACCTGGAGCAAGGCAGCGGCGGGTTTCTGGGATACGGCAGTAGCTGGCTCCTCAGCGCTACGAGTGGCAATGCACAGACTGATGAGGGCAGAAGCCGCCACGGAGATGGGCTTTCATGCAGCAGGAGTGTTCTACGACGCGGCAAACTTCTACGACAACATAGGCCTCGACCAGCTGATCGAGAAGGCCAGTGCCCTCCAGTACCCGTTGCTGCCGCTGGCAATGGCCGTGCAGATGTACCTTGCGCCCAGGGCCATCATGGCCCACAGCCTCTTCTCGGACATCTTCGAGCCTGCCAACAGCATGGTAGCTGGCTGTGGCCAAGCGGTAGACCTCACCAGACCGCTTTGTATGGAATCCTGGGTGCAGCGCACAGGCACCACATCTTCGTCGTCATGCAGCAGTACCTGGACGACTTGGCCCTGCAGGTAGAGGGTGCGCGGCGGCAGGTCATTGACCAGATCAAGCACGTGGCAGCGCTGGTGCACGATGGATTCAAGCAGCTCGCGATACCCATCTCTGTCAAGACGGCAGTGGTGGCCTCGGACAAGGACCTCCAGGCAGAAGTCGCCAGCATCCTGGACAGCCTGGGCACCCCCAACAAGCAACCAGGTGTAGTGCGCGACCTCGGCGTGGACACCAGCCTTGGCAAGCGGCTGCGGCGACCCACCCATGCCGCGCGCCAGGCCAAGGCCAAGCAGAGGGTGGCCAAACTCAAGGACCTAGCGAAGACGGACGCCAGAGGCGCGGCAAAGGTCTGTTCAGCAGGTGCCTACTGCCAGCAGGCTTGGGACTTACCAGCGCATGGCATCACGCCCACGGAGGCGAAGTTGGTCAGGGCTACGGATGCAGCGCTCCTCACAGGCGGACACAAGGCTGGACGGACGCTGCACGTCCACCATCCTCCTGATCCAGACGGGTATGCAAGAGGCAGTAACCCGAGCCATCGGCGACCAGATCAAGCAGTTCTGGCTCACCGTAGTCGACCACCCGACGGAACTCAAGAGGTACCAGAGAGGCTGGCTCCTGCTCTACGCCAAGCTGGGCGCCCTGGAACCCAACCGCAGGTGGCAGCAGGTCAAGGGGCCTATGGCAGGGGTCATCGCGCAGTTGCTTGGGTTAGGCTGGATACCGCGACGCCTGGACAGCTGGATCAGCCCAGCAGGTGACGAGTGGGCCTACAAGCCAGATGACATTCCTCACTTCGGCGCGCTCCTGCATGAAGTCCAGCAGAGCGCGCAGCAGCAGCTCTGGCAGCAGGCAGCTGGCCATCGCAGTGGAGAAGGACTTCAGGCTGGAGGCGACCTCTATCAGCTGCAGCGCCACCTGAGGAGGAGGAGGCGTAAAGGACAGCATGCAGAGGCAGCCATGCTGGAGACCATAGCGGTGGCGGGCATCTGGACCAGGGAGCGTCGCAGGGCGGCCAACCTCAACCAAGAAGGCGATGACACCTGCGCGAGATGCGGCGAGGCGATAGAGACAGAGGAACACCGCTACTACGCATGCCCTGCCAACGCAGAGATAGGGCACAGCAATGACACCGACCTGGCGAAGAAGGCGAAGGACGCGCTGGACCAGCGGCAGGACCTGCATCTCTGGCTCCGAGACATCCCGCCAGCGGCCTGGGCAGCCAAGGTCGACCCAGACGAGGACGCGGCGAAGGCGGCGCAGATCTTCTGCACCAGCGAAGAGGCTCAGGCTGCAGCCCAGTCAGGGCACAAGGTTCGAGCAGACTATGTCTTCACGGACGGCTCAGGTGGTGCAGGGGAAACGGCCAGGGACCCCCGCCTCAGACGCTGCGGCTGGGCAGTGGTGGACACCATCATGGGCCACCACATCCCGAGCCACCTGATCGAGCACCCAGCCGAGCTGGAGAGGTGGAATGGCCCCACCTGGTGGGTCATAGGAAACGAGATGGCAGACAAGTACGCAGGCTGGGGAGCGGAGCATGGAGCACTGGATCCAGCCATCATCGCGCAGCAGCAGATCAGGGACCAGATCACCATGGCGGTGCAGAACCGGCTGCTGGCCATCAACATGGCGGTGACGGTGGAGGACCCCAACAAGGCCCCTCAGCGTCCCAAGGCCAAGCGGCGAAAGCCGCAGACGGCGAGGGACAGGGCAGCCCAGCAGGGACACGACCTGCGAAAGCTACATCCGCGATGGTGGTGTGCAACGTGTCGCAGTGGCCCAGCCAAAGGACAAAGCATCAGAGACTGGTTGGCAGAGACAGGAAAATGCCTCGGGAAGTACGGCGGCCACCAGGACCAGCACGGCAACGTCAGGCTCGACTTCAAGGCGGTGCAGATCGGCACACAGGTGGTGCACGTCTCCCACAAGACGCAGTTCACCCATGGCTGGCTCTGGTGTGAGAAATGTGGCGGCACCAGCTACCTTGGGGACCACAAGAGCAGGATCGTGGCAGGAGTGGCAAGGAAGCTGGCAAGGCCATGTCAGCCCCCAACAGCAGCAGGGCGGCGGGTCTTGGAGGACATGCAGAGGGGCAAGCTGCCAAGAGGAGCTAAGCCAGCAGCAGACCCAGCTGATGAGGGTCTCGACGAGATCACCTTGCCTGGAGACTTCAAGCTCGGCCTGAGTAACCACGAGGCGATCGATCTGGACGGGGACAGCTCAGAGGCAGGGGGCCCGCAGCCAGCTCCACAGCAGCCACCCAGCCATCCGCACTCTGTCGTCCACGCCAGCTGGAGGCTCGTCGACCACATGGAGGGCTACGCGGAGCAGTGGATGAACATGGTCGACCAAGAGGTCTGGGACGATAAGGACGACTGGATGGAGCACTGCGTACCGTACCTCCTGGCCATCACCAATGTGGGTGGCAGAACGGACACGCAAGAGCAGACCAGGGCCGTCACCGAGCAGGAGCTCCAGCAGATCAAGGACTTCTGCGGAGAAGTCTGGCGCAACACGCACCGCACGCGACGGAGGCTCATGACCAGGATGCTTACCCTCCCGTATGGTACAAGGCAGCAGGCAGCAAGAGTGCACATGGACGCCTTCCAGAACAGAAGGAACAACATCCTAGCGCACAGCATCCCCAGCAGCGAGCGCAGGCCGCTGCCGAGAACAGCGGAGGCCAGCCGAGAGTGGTCACCAGAGAACCTGGACGATGATGACTCGACCCCAGACAGTGAAGCCCCAGAGCTGGAGGGTGAGCCGAGCAGCCAGGAGATTGAGACCATGGCGGGACCTGATCAGAGGCACGACGCCAACAGCCTGATGCAGACGGCAGTGCAGGTGGCAGTAACGCTGACCAAGCCAGTGGGGCCCGACCTGATGAAGTTCGTGAGCGAAGCCGACGAGGCCGGCCTGCTCCACCCAAGGCTTCGACACAACAAAGGAGAAGCTGACCAGGACCCCGAGCAGGAGGTGGCGTGGCTCGAGAGGAACAGGCTCGAGCAGCTCATGCAGTCGCTGGCAGGCTGTTGGAGCCAGAAAGAGGGCGAGCAGGGCTGGCCATCGTGGCAGGCCGCGTGCGTGCCCCATGTGCTGAGGGCGCTGCAGACTGGAGTCTACCAGAGGCTTTTCAGCTACGTGTCAGGGACGAGCCGCCAGCGCAGCCAGCGCCGAGCGGCGGAGGAGATCTGCCGCCTGGCATGGCTCAACAGCGGAGAGGCGCGCAGACAGATCCAGCAGCAGGACCCGAAGGAGGCAGAGCGGCGCAGAGCAACGGCTGAGCAGATCCTGGGCGTGACTGAGCCAGAGGTGAGGAGCCGCAGCCCGCGACCACAAGCAGCAGGGCGAGTGCCAAGCAGGGCTCCAGCCAGACAGCCGAGGAGGCCCCTGTGCGGAGAGGGGACAGGCCACCATGGACCCCTGCGCGGCGAGGGGTTAGGCCGCAGAGGACCCCAGCGTGGCGAGGGGTTAGGCCACAGCCCTGCGCCAGACGGGATGCAGAGGGGTGCCCGTCCCCCACCAGCAGGACGCAGCACCAAGGACATGGCAGACCTCGACCACGTCCCTGAAGAGGAGAACAGCGAGGATTGCCCCCAGCAGCCCGTAGACAAGCAAAACAGCGATGACAACCACCAGCAGTTCCCAGATGTACAGCACAGCATAGGGTACCACCTGGCAGACCGCAGAGGACCCCAGCGTGGCGAGGGGTTAGGCCACGGAGGACCCCAGCGCGGTGAGGGGTTAGACCGCAGAACCAAAGGCAAGCAGAGGATCGAGGCGGAGGTCCCTGACGAGCCCAGTGAGCATGACGCGGACGTCTTGACCAACAGTGTGGTAGACAGGACCCCGCAACTACCAGAGCGGACCCTTACCATGGGAAACCGACAGACTGAACGCGAGGGGGAGGGCTTGGCCCGCGGATACCACGTGAACCGCGAACACAGCGAGTGGCATAGTCGGGGGACCTCGCCTGAGCCAGTGGGCAGCAGCACCGAGGATGGGGACAGTGCGAGACTCGGCGCTCCCCCGCGTGGCGAGGGGTTAGGCCACAAAACAGCGCAGCCTGAGAAGGCGGCAGACTACGACGACACAGACCTGCAGCGGGACTTGGAGAAGATCTTCGGCGACCCTCCACAGCGCGGTGAGGGGTTAGACCACAAGGCACCCCTGCGCGGCGAGGGGTTAGGCCACGGCAATCCCCTGCGCGGTGAGGGGGTAGACCGCAGGACCAAAGGCAAGCAGAGGCTTGAGGCGGAAGCCTATGACGTGCCCAGTGAGCATAACGCGGACCTTTTGACCAACAGTGTGGTAGACAGGACCTCGCAACTAACAGAGCGGACCCATACCCTGGGAGACCGACAGACTGAACGCGAGGGGGAGGGCTCGGCCCGCGGATACCACGTGAACCGCGAACACAGCGAGCGGCAAAGTCGGGGGACCTCGCCCGAGCCAGGGGGCAGCAGCACCGAGGACGGGGACAGTGCGAGACGCGGCGTACCCCCGCGCGGTGAGGGGTTAGACCGCAGCAGGCCCCAGCGTGGCGAGGGGTTAGGCCACGGAGTACCCCAGCGCGGTGAGGGGTTAGACCGCAACGATCCCCAGCGTGGCGAGGGGTTAGGCCACGGCGGACCCCATAGTGGTGATGGGTCAGACCGCAGCAGGCCCCTGCGCGGTGAGGGGTTAGGCCACATGGGGCCCCAGCGCGGTGAGGGGTTAGACCGCAATAGGCCCCTGCGTGGCGAGGGGTTAGGCCACGGAGCACCCCAGCGCGGTGAGGGGTTAGACCGCAGCAGCCCCCAGCGTGGCGAGGGGCTAGGCCACGATTTTCCCCAGCGCGGTGAGGAGTTAGACCGCACCGACCCCCAGTGTGGCGAGGGGTCAGGCCACGACGGGCCCCAGCGCGGTGAGGGGTTAGACCGCAACAGACCCCTGCGCGGCGAGGGGTTAGGCCACCACGGAGCACCCCAGCGCGGCGAGGGGCCAGACGGCAGCAGGCCCCAGCGTGGCGAGGGGTTAGGCCACGGAGGACCCCTGCGCGGCGAGGGGTGAGGCCGCAATGCGCCCCAGCGTGGCGAGGGGTTAGGCCACAGCTCTGCGCCAGGCAAGGCGGTCGTGAAGGCCCATGAGTCCAGGGACCAGCAGCCAGGGCGGCCCCTGGAAGAGCGCAGAGCGGAGGAGCGGCAGCGGCCGTCCATCAGGCTGCTCCTCAAGCTCTGAGAGGGCGGCGGCAGCATATCTTCAGACTGCCGCTGCTCTCGGGGCGACTCCACGAGTCATAGAGCGGCGGCAGTACGACGCCGTGAGATGAGGCCGCTGGCCCACCCCGCCTCGGGCCGTTCAGCCTGCGCGGAGTGCCGAGACCAGGGGCGCCCACTCACGGGCGGGAGCACGCGGGTGTAAACTCCTCCTCCTCCTCCTCCTCCTCCTCCCTCCTCCTCCTCCTCCTCCTCTCTCTCCTCCTCCTCCTCCTCCTCCTCCCTCCTCCTCCTCCTCCTCCTCCTCCTCCTCCTCCTCCTCCTCATCCTCCTCCTCCTCCTCCTCCTCCTCCTCCTCTCCTCCTCTCCTCCTCTCCTCCTCTCTCTCCTCCTCCTCCTCCCCTCCTTTCCTGCCCCTCCTCCTCCTCCTCCTCCTCCTCCTCTTCCTCCTCCTCCGTAGCCATTTTGGCTCAAGATGCTTGCTTTGCGTAAGCAGGGCATGGATACCGCTAGTCCGCTGCCAGCTTTCATATCGCGCGCCGCCCCGGCGCACGCGCACCCCCGCCGCGGCTCATGGCGCCCTCTGTGGCAGGTGGGCGGCGAAAGAAAAAGAAGCTCCCTGGCGATCTTCGTGGCAGCGTCGCTCGCCCTGATGACGACGGCGCTGAGGCTCGTGACGACCGCGCCGAGGATCGATCTCGTTCCAGCAGATGCGGCTCTGATGGGGAAGAGAATCATGACATGGACCCCACCGGTTGGGACGACCACATCAAGGGTTTCATCGACGGCCACATTCGCAGCACATTCCTGTCATTCAAGAATGAGATCACAGGTATGGTCGCCTCGACAGCATCTTCAGCGGCCACGCAGGCTGTTGACCCCGTCATGGCCGCGATCCGCGCTGTGGAGGAAGCGGTCAAGAGCGTGCCAGCCACCTGCCAGCAGAAGGTGGAGGCGTCACTTCGACCTGAGCTGGCGGCGATGGAGCGGAGATGTCAGTCGCAACTTGACGGCCTCTCTGCCAGAGTCACCAGCTTGGACTCGCGCACGGACAAGATGCATGATGAGCTTGGTGACATGCGTAAGCAAATGGACGATCTTCGACAAGCCTTGGCACTCGCACATCGTACACCTCCGCCACCAAAGCCGCCAGCTGCTGGATTTCAGAGGGAAGTGGATGCGACGGTGCTCAAGATTGTGGCAGCTACGATGGTCAAGCGCGCGGACGTCCACGACCCCATCAAGGCGTGGCTCGACAAGTCAAAAATTGAGGGATGGGAGATTCAAGGAGAAGAACAAGATCGCTTGTTCACACTGCAGTCCGTCGCGGGTCGACGGGCTACTCAGGCTCTCGGAGCACTGCGTCTTCCTGGCAAAGGCAACTGGATGCGCTTCCCCATTCCTGCGGCCTCGGGGGGACCCACGCAACTTCACGTTGGTGCCGACAAGAACCCGTTCCAGATCAAGAGAGAGATCGCAGGAAAGAAGATCACGGCAATTTTGCGGGAAAAGTATCCCGACGCCAAGCTGTTCTTCGACCGCCAGAATGGATGGATCTCGGAAAGCTGGAACCCTATTCTTCGGCTCGAGCCGCAGCCAGGACAAGAAGCGACGAAATGTTATTGGAACGATGCTGCCTTGGCTACGAGAGCATGGACTAGGGACGAGATCAAAGCTGCTATCAATCACATCATCGTGCCCAATGGTGAGCCTGAGTGGAGTCTTTAGCCACTATGACGTGCTGTTTCGATCGAGGGTTGAAGGTGGGCAGGCGCCGAAGACAGCTCAAATCTCGTTTTGTATATGGAATGCCAGAGCGTTCTTACGGTGGCGTGGTGTTCAGGCTATGGCGAAAGCTTCGTACCTTCACCAAGCTGGGATCACGAATGCCACTTTCGCCATTCAAGAGGTGCACCAAACCCTGGCGGAGTTCCAGTTCGTCATGTCGCGAATTGCCCCCTCGTCCTCAGTCTTTGGGCCATTTGAAGCAGCACGTGAGGGTCATCGTCGTGGTGGCGTGGCGACAGTGGTACCACTCGCGCAGGATGCTGGGGTCGTCGCTCATCCGCTCGCCCTCATCCCTGGTCGTGAATTGCGCTTGGTTCTTCGTCGAGGGCATGTTGAGCTTCGGCACTACAATGTCCACGATCATGACCTGGAGCGAGGTGATGTTCTACAAGTCACGCAGAGTATCCAAGAAGACTATACCTGGGCTGCAGCGGCTCCGTCAGAAGGATGGTCGCGGCTTGTGGGGGCTTCAAACTTCTCCTCGCATGAGGCCCTGGACCTTACGGATCCTACTCGAGCGCGAGACCTTCGTGTCACCAACAATGCGAGAACGCATATGAAGTTTTGGCTATCAGTGCTGGCGTCGTTCGTCGAAGTTGCCTCAGAGGACCCCACTCACTACTGCAGGGACTCCAAGACGGTTGCGCAGATTGATCGCATATGGATATCTGAACCTGGGTGGGTTGCTTGGCAAATTCAACACTCTGTTGCGGTTATCTCCACACCTGAAGAACTGTCAGACCGGGATGTATCTGATCACGCCGCGGTCAGAGTTACCCTGTCCAACAGGCGGCAACGCGAGAAGTACGTCAAAACTGTACCCCCCCCCCCCCCCCGCCATCTACAAGTCCGCCAGCTTCGCTGAACGACTTGGACGTCTTCTTGATTATGATCAGAACTCATTTCGCTTGCTGTCGCCACCGCTTCAGATGGAACGTTATAAGGAGTTAGTCAATGTGGCAGCTCTTGACTCGCTTAATCAGCTGTTGGTTGACGATCCTGGATCTTGAGGCTCAGCGGATGTTCGCTCGACAGCTCGCTAGGGCCGTCTGGCGCCAAGACACGCGACTTGCACTACGAGTATGTAATGCCTCGGAGACTGCGCGAAGCTGCATCGTGATTGACGGACCCACTGTGAAGTTGGTCCAGCCAGCGGCTTTTTCGGATTGGGTCAACTCTGTACAACGTGCGGCTGCTGATCAAGAGATTGAGGCGCTTCAGCATGCGGGGCGCTTCGCGCTGTGGGACGGGCTCGGCCTTCTGCTGGGGCCCTTGCTGCGACGACCTGCAAGGCGCGCTTGTGGGCGCCGTTTGGCAAGAGGCTTACGCTGCGGGCCATATCTGTGGGCAACTGTGTGCACACTGATGCGATGGCTAAGTTGGACGCTCTGGCAGCATATTGGGCACCTATTTCGGCACAGCCTCCTGGGTTTCCTAGAGCCACGCAGGTGTACGTTGACAGATGTGCGCAGGCTGGTCAGTATGATAACATCCCTCCTCCGACGCGCTCGTTACTTGGACGTGTCCTGCGACGGCTTGCACCATCATGTTCGGCTCCTGGTACGGATGGCCTTCCTTACTCGGCGTGGGCTGCGCACCCTGTGGGTGGTGACGCGTTGTGGAACGCTTGCATGTGGCTGATGGATGGACAGCTTCTCTTCTCAAACACAGGTGACACGCTTCAGGCATTCCTTCCCGAAGGTAGTCAAGTGGGTGACGACGACAACTGAGGTGTATCACGTACACCTGATACGGTAAGGACACTCGGTCTGCGCAACACGGATATGAAGATCATTTCAGCTACTTTCAACCAGGCCATTGCTCCTATCATTCAGATGACGACCTCGACCGCGCAGAGGGGGTTTATTGCTGGGCGGCAGTTTACATCCAACATCCTGGAGCTCGACATGATGGCGCGCGTGGCATCTCTGCAGCCGGCGGTGCATGAGCGGAACCCCCTGCTTGTCGCATTGGACTTTGGCCAGGCGTTCCCATCTTAGGTCAAGAGTTTATCTTTGCTGTTCTGGGTCGTCTTCGCCTTCCACGTGGGCTTCATGCTGCAATTCGCGGTCTGTATTCTGTCGTGACTGCTGTGGGGCGTGTAGATGGGATCACCAAGCCGCTCTTTCGGATCTTTTGCGGGATTATTCGAGGCTGTGCGCTCAGTGGTAGCCTGTTTGCTGCGGCAACCTCGCCATTCTTGGAGGATCTCAGACGTGGCCTCGAGGTCCCAGCTCGAGGTGTGTTTCGTGCCTGTGCTGATGATATTGGTGGCATTGTTTTTGATATGCTGGACCTCAAGTACCCGGCTCGGGTGATGACAGTGGCAGAAAAGTTGGCCAATCTTAAATTGAAACCGCCCAAGTGC